TATTGTAAATGACATTGCTTAGTAAATACCCTCTTTGATAGTATCTCTTTTCATTACAAATTGATTGCTATGTTAAATGTATTATTACAAGTGGTCCGTATTGGCCCAAATCCGATCTATTTAGTTACGTTGAAATGAAATGAAATTTTTTTTTTTTTTTTTTTTTTCATTCGACATATTTATTTATATCACATTGCTCATGTACATTATTTATTATAAGGTCTTATATATACTTAATAGTGAGTGGTACATGACCCCGTTGGGGTGTTGCAACAAACTTGAGCTTAACATTAAATACATTATTTTCACTTAATTGCTGGTCATATCAAATCACATCAGGTCCAACCAAATTTAAACAAAATCAATCCATTTTAAAAATTAATCAAGTCAATTTATATCATATCATGTCATCATAATCATATCATATCATCATAGTCAAATCAAAATCATATCTTATCCAGTTAAATCACATTATATCAAATTAATAGGTCAAACATAATTAAGTTAAACTAAATCAAATCAAACAAACAGGTCAAGCATAATTAAGTTAAATTAAATTACATTTATTTTTCATTCATAAATTCATCAACAGAATAATACGCTTTTTTTATAAGATGCTGTTTCAATTTATTCTTAAATATGTTTATATTAGATTCTGTTTTAATAATAACGGGAATTTTATTATATATCATTATGGATCGGTATAATGGGCCATTTTTATACATCTCCAGTTTAGGTTCGGGAGGAATCAGATTAAACTGGCGGCGAGGATTATTACTTCTTTTATAATATAAATAATAAAATAATAAAATAAATAAATATTTAGAACACTCACACCAATTAGCCTAGAGCCCCAAAGTAAGCACTATAAGGCTTGTGTTATGGGATGCTAGGGTAACGGATAGAATACATATACAGTACATATATAAGTATATTTATATAGAAATAGATATTAAATATCCATGACTGGAGTACAAATGCTCGTATTCATCACACCAACATCTGCCCCCACCGGGATTCGAACCCGGGACCTCTCGAGTCGGCGACACCATGAAACCCGGCGTACAAACCACTCGGCCACGGAGGTCGTCGATATGATTGATATTTGCGTACAAACATTGCTAATTCCATAATATATATTGATGGGAGGGTTAGTAATTTCTCATTTATAAAGTATGGCCTGCAGCTTTCTCTTGGTCGTATATTGTATATAATACGCAGGCATTTCTTTTGTGAGATAAACAGATCATGTGCATTGGTACTTTGCCCCCAGAGAATAATTCCATAACTTAACCATGCGTATGCATACGCATAATAAGCCGATAAAGCACATTTTATATTAGTATTGGTTTTTAGCACGCTTAAGGCGTAGGTAAATTTCGATATTTTTTTCCTAATTTGTTCAACATGGGCCTTCCAGTTCAAGTGTGAATCGATAGTTATGCCTAAGAGTTGCACGCTGGATACTTCTTTTATATTTTGTGAAGTTTTAGCCTCATTTAGATCTATGGATGGTTTTTGGTATGGGTGGAACTGTATAATGTGAGTTTTGGTTTTGTTTATTTCTAAATTGTGATTTTTGAGCCATTGGTTTATAGAGTTTAATGTGGATTCTATTTTCGAGTTAAAGTTTATGTTGCGAGGGACTTCAAAGAGAACCGAGATGTCATCAGCAAAGAGTATGCACTTAAATTCTGTCGTCTTTGGTAAGTCATTGATATATATCAGAAATAATATACAGCCGAGAACACTCCCTTGTGGTATTGAATGATTTATTGTTACAATATCCGATTTGATTTGTTTCATTTCATTGGTTTCTTCATTAAAATGCTGTATCTGTACGAATTGACGTCTATTTTGTAAATAGGAACAAAACCATTTCAGGACTTTTCCTCGAATTCCAACTCCATGTAGCTTTGATATTAATATCTCATGGTCTACCCTGTCATAGGCCTTAGACATATCCAACATTAATCCTACTGCATGATTCTTTTCTCTTATGTAGTTTAATATTTCTTGAATATAGTTAAAAGTAGCTAAGATAGTCAAATGTTTCTCACGAAAGCCGTATTGATTTTTATCTAGTATGTTATATTTTTCAAGAAAGGAGTAGATACGTTTAGACATCGGCTTTTCGAATAATTTGGAAAGTGTCAGAAGTAGTGCTATTGGTCTATATTGATTGAGATTATTCGCCATACCTCCCTTTTTTAAAATTGGTGTTATTTTCGCTAGTTTTAACCGATCCGGGAAAGTGCTTTGGTCGAATGATTGGTTCACTAGAAATGTAAGTACAGGGACCAATTCAACTCGACAAGATTTTATTAATATTGTTGGTATATCGTCGTCGCCGTAGCTATATTTATTTGGTAGTTTTCTAATAAGATCGTTCATCTCTTTTTCCGTTACAGGTTTCAAGAACATTGAATTAATTGTTGGTTCTAGAACAGTAGGAGCTTTATTTTTTTGATTTCTATTTTGTGGTTTGCCAACTGATATAAAAAACTTGTTAAAATGGTTTGCAACCGTCTGAGGACACGTTATTTGAGTATTGTCACATACTAAGTGTATATTTTTGTGTCTACTATCTTGTTTCTTTCGTGTTACCTGATTTATTATTCTCCACATGCATTTTGTTTTATTATTCGACTCGTTCATTTTTCTTATATAGGTGCTTTTTTTGGATAATTTTATGCATTGCTTTAGTACTTTGACATAAGAGTTATAGTGATTCTTTAATATTAAATTATTTGATTGGTTTACTAGTATTTTTAAAATTCTTTTATTTTGGCACGACTTTTTTATACCGTTTGTTAGCCAGGTTATTTTATGTTGTTTAGCATGACATTTTATTTGTTTAATTGGTATGCATTCATTTAGTGTTTCTAATAGTTTATCATGGAATTGATTGAAGTTCTCGTTTACGTTATTAGTAAAATTTAGTTTAATTGTGTTTAGCCAGTCTTTTTTACCTATTTTTTGTTTAAATCTATTTATGTTAACACTATTGAAAATTCGTTTATAATATATACTTGTTACATTACTTTTTATATTAGCGGTTAACTTGAGTCTGCTCATCAATGCACGATGATCTGATATCCCCAAATCTTTTACAGCAACATCAATATTTTTTATATTTGTAAACAAAAGGTCAATGCATGTTGAAGTAGTTTGCGTCACTCTAGTGGGACTATTGACTTGTTGGTGTAGATTGTATTCCAACATTTTATTAACAAGAAGTTGGTAATCGTATGAGGATTTTACGCTGTCTATATTAAAATCGCCATTTATAATTATTTGTTTACGACTTTTGTTTTTTAATTTTAATAACATTTTATCTAAGAAATCAAAGAATGTGTTCATGTCACGTCCCGTCCTGTAAATTGTTATTATGACTATGCCCGATCTTAATTCTACTCCACAACACTCAACCCTGCCATCTAAAGATAAGTTTGTAAATTCTTTGAGCTCTATGTACGGAATATCTTCCTTCAGTAGTATTGCAATTTTATCACACAAAACAGAGTAGATACATGTTTTTATTTATTTTTTAAGCATTTAACTGCTAGATGTTTAAATCTAAAGAAAAGATTACTAGAAAAAAATCCACGCGGACCAGGCAGCGGACGGGACTCGAACCCGCACCTTTCGCAATCCGGACGAATGCACTGACCATTATGCTACCACGGCCCTATTCGCCGCGTCGAAATTTTCCTAGCCTTAAGCTGCAAGGCAGCGCCATCTCTTCGCATTGTAGGTAACACACAATGTCAAATGAATACTTTTTCAAGTATTAAACATTTGAAAGAAGAAATAGCAATTATAGTTATGTTTTTATTTATTTTTAAGCATTTAACTGCTAGATGTTTAAATCTAAAGAAAAGATTACTAGAAAAAAATCCATACAGTAGATACATTAGATAGATAGAGATATATTTAGAGTAGATACATTTTGATGGTGATATTCATTTAGTTCGTCCATTTTGCCAACGACAGGGCATGTGAATGTCAAACTTAATTTAATTGTAAAATTAATAGGTACTTACGAGTATGCCATTTTGTTTATTCTATTCTAAGTCAATTTTCGTTACTATTCTGCCACAGAGTAGTGAGTGCCTGCGCAGATTAGAGACGGTAAATCATTACATGATGCGGGGAGGCGGGCATTGTTTTTTCCATACAAATTTTCTGGAATGATTCCTCCTTGATTTTTATCAATAAAGAATTGATTTTCATACTAAATATTATTTCAAAGAAACTAGAAGCCCTTAAAAAAATATTTAATGTACTTATAATAAAGTGAGGCACCATTTTGTATATGTCCAAGGTATGCTGCATGCCAAACTATAATAAACAATATTTTAAAATACAAATTTATTTTAAAAAACCTAGTTTCTCCAGGCAGTCGCAAATTTTTTTTCATTTGGGGAAGTGACCTTGTATGAAAATTTATGAAGCATTCACGAAAAAAGCACAACATAGAGGCATAGTAGCTGACTTATTATTCTATAGGTGAAATTTCTTTTATATATAACTAATTTTCGAGGAGGAAATCGTCCAAAGCCTTGAATTTTGCAATTTTTATATCTCTATCGTACGGTATTTACCAATGCGTGCTAGCAATAGTTTTTTCAAATGCCTATTTCTCAAATGTCTCTCATCTCGCGTAAGCTGTTAATCTGACACGTAATGATTTACCGTTTGATGAATGATTTACGTTCTTCCCCCGAGAGGTTTTTTTTAATTTTTGGTACTTGTAATCAAAGGATGCTAAGCTATGCCATATACATCCTTTCAAGTAATGAAAAAAATTTACATGTCTTTTTCTTGTGTCACTAAACAGGCCCTGCCAGGATAACAGCGCTGGTGCGACACAATGTCCCATCAACTAATGCTGAGGCACGGTCCTGGTTAGACCTGAGATTTTTGAATTTGTATCTGTTAATGTGTAAATGAGGGTTAATAAAATATATTCTATTCTATTCTATTCTATTCTACAGGAGCTGGTTCTGCGCCCTGGCTCGATGACGTTCGAGTGGTGGGCGCGGCCGCCGGTTCGACCGTTCGTGCACGTCTACGTGTACAACGTTACCAATGCTGACGAGTTCCTCAACAACGGCTCCAAACCTGTGCTCCAAGAGTTGGGACCTTACGTTTACCAGTGAGTACGGAAGGACATTCATAATCTTGAGTTTATTTATTTGACCCTAACTACCGTAAACTACCACCGGTTCCAAAATTGGGAGACCTTTCTGAGAAGAACCGGCGAAACAAACTCAAGACAGGCTTTCTATCTCCTTCTTATGTTAAATTATGCAGACAAAAAGAACTAATAGTATCTGATGGTCTTGATGGAATTACAAAAAGAATTTTAAATAAAATACTTTATTAAGTAAATTAAATAATAAATTCATACATAGACAATAAAACTTAAAAATCGAACAATGAAATAACCAAACGCTCAATAAAAGTCTTTCGAAGGTAGCTCGACAAATTAAATAAAAGTTTTATTCTGACGACGAAGCCTGTAAAGGCTACGAAACGTCAATAAATAAATAAAGTTTCGTGCATTAACCAGTAAAAACTAGTTTTATTTAATGAGTGATGTGCGTGAAAACCTAAAAAACAAATATTCATAATCTACTTAATAATGGGTAACTTACTCACTTTGGTTCTTTGAGAATCCCACAGGAACCGAAAATATTGGAGTATTTTTGCAGGCTGGTAAGGTGAGGATGGTTGGCGTGGCAGTTTTTAACTGATGTACCAGCTATCTTCGCGTTTGGACTTTATCACCTCTTAGCATCAGGTGGGGTAGAGTCATTTGCCTACATGACTTTTAAAAAAAAATAAGAAAAAAACGGGATAAACAGTATCTCCTACGTCTCAATCTATATAAGTATGTTTAAGGTTATTTTTAATTAGAAATACATGAGTTATTAACATCTTCACATCATCTAACAACTACTACCACACGAATAAAGAAAACACAGTGGCAATACTTTTATGCAGTGCGTCCACAAAAAAGGTAATAAAGATGGTAATCTACACACAAAGCGCGCTCGAGCAAAGTATACCCTCTATGTGTAATTTTCTCGAGCGCACTGCTCATGGACACAATATCTCGGACCGCTTGGGAACAGCTTACGAAACTCTGTCCTGGGTCAGACTCGCACTTGACATTTTTTTGAGACATTTGCCTCACGTCGTCCAAAATAACTGATAGCGCACAAACGCATGAGCAGCGCCACAAAGCTCGTCTATATTGGCCACTTGCATTAGTCTTCTTCAAACTTGGCCACTTACATTATTCTTCTTCAAACTTGGTCACTGGCATTATTCTTCTTCAATCGTGGCTACTTGCATTAGCCTTCTTCAAACTTGGCCACTTGCATTAGTCTTCTTCAAACTTGGCCACTTGCATTAGTCTTCTTCAAACTTGGCCACTTACATTATTCTTCTTCAAACTTGGCCACTGGCATTATTCTTCTTCAATCGTGGCCACCTGCATTAGTCTTCTTCAAACTTTACCACTTGCATTAGTCTTCTTCAAACTTGGCCACTTGCATTAGACTTCTTCAATCATGGCCACTTACATTAGTCTTCTTCAAACTTGGCCACTTACATTATTCTTCTTCAAACTTGGTCACTGGCATTATTCTTCTTCAATCATGGCCACTTGCATTAGTCTTCTTCAATCATGGCCACTTACATTAGTCTTCTTCAAACTTGGCCACTTACATTATTCTTCTTCAAACTTGGTCATTGGCATTATTCTTCTTCAATCATGGCCACTTGCATTAGTCTTCTTCAAACTTGGCCACCTGCATTAGTCCTCTTCAAACTTGGCCAATATCTAGACAGTAGCATTTGCCTTGTATGACTAGGCATACGCTCGCAATTGGGCTAAGCTCCGCCAGTATGTATTGGCAACTTTAAAGAAATCGGGGTTGTAGGTTGTAGGTTGTAGGAGGGAGGGAACATGTGAGCGGACAAAACATAATAATAATAATATATTTCCAACAATCACACCAATTAGCCTAGCCCCAAAGTAAGCACTGTAAGGCTTGTGTTATGGGATGCTAGGGTAACAGATAAAATACATATGCAGTACATATATAAGTTATATTTATATAGAAATACATATTAAACATCCATGACTGGAGTACAAATGCTCGTATTCATCACACAAACATCTGCGCCCACCGGGATTCGAACCCGGGACCCCTCGAGTCGGCGATACCATGAAACCCGGCGTACAAACCACTCGGCCACGGAGGTCGTCTAACATTCCTATTTGCAAGGGTTATTGCGACAATTCTCGAACCAGATAAAGTGATACTTTAGCTCATTAAATTGTCCAATCGAAACCGATATTGAAACTGGTTTTGAAGGAAACAGTATTTAAACAAGTCGAATTGTAAGTAAGTTAATTGCCTCTTGGGTTGTCGTCAGGATTATGACTCATGCAAGATGCGTCCAGTTAACAGCCGCCCCCAAAAACTTTAATTTTGTTTGCATAATTTAACACAAGAAGGAAATAGAAAGCCTCTCTTGAGTTTGTTTCGCCGGTTCTTCTCAGGAAGGTCTCCCAATTTTGGAGCCGGTGGTAGTTTACGGTAGTTAGGGTCAAATAAATAAACTCAAAATTACAAACAAGAATTTTAAATAAAATACTTTATTAAGTAAATTAAATAATAAATTCATACATAGACAATAAAATTTTAAACCTCCTCCAATGAAATAACTAAACGCTCAATATAAGTCTTTCGAAGGTAGCTCGACAATTTTAAATAAAAAATCATTATTCTGACGATGCAGACCTGAAAAGGCTGCGAAACGTCAATAAATAAATAAAGTTTCGTGCATTAACCCGTAAAAGCTAGTTTTATTTAATGAGTGATGTGCGTGAAAACCTAAGAAACAAACTTTAATTTAAATAACCTCAAAAATTTTAAGGGAAATGAAAGGCTTGACAAATTACCCAATTCCACCTAATGTTAAGTGCAGTGGAGTCCAATCAGTGATAGCTGAAGGCTCATCAATCCAGTTCGAGCCGTCGTCTTCACATCTGGTCTTCACAACTTACCTGCCTATAAGGTCAGGTGACGTGGACGTCATTTGTCGGACTTATTTAAAAAAACGGATGCCTTTAAAAGTCTAGTAGACTTGCAACGAATAGTATATTCGGCAGTATACCGAATACCGAATATTCGGCGAGGCCCCTGACCGAATAGCCGAATATTAGGCAAAAGTATTCGGCTGGAGTTTAGCGCCAAAAACTTGTACAGACGTGATTGTTTCGCGCTCCTTTTTTTGTCCTAATCTTTAGATTTTATTCATCTAGCATTTAAACTAGAATATTCGTGTTAATTAAATTATAATAGGAATTTAATAACATCTCGCGGTAATGGACACAAACAAGATAACGACCGAATACATTAAAATTCCATTCGACATTAATAAAATTTTCCTATAACTTCTTGGTGTCTTGTGTGACTTTTTTGTTTTTTTTAATAGTCATATATTTTTAACCCCAAGGCTGATCTTCTGTTGTTGTAATTTATAAAAATTATTTGGAATGGAAGTCATCATTATCATCATTAGCCTATTAATGTCCCCACTGCTGGGGCACAGGCCTTCCCTATCGATGGAATAGGGAGATTGGGCCATGAACCACCCACGCGGGCCCAGTGCGGATTGGTGGGTGCTAACGACTGCAGATGCAGCCGGGACCAACGGCTTAACGTGCCTTCCGAAGCACGGAGGAGCTCGAGATAGTAAATTTTTGGTCACCTATCCAATGATCGACCACTACGACAGTTGCTTAACTTCAACGATCGCAGCCGAATGCCCTGACCACCTGCGCCATCAAGCTCCTCCTGGAAGAATGAAAATATTCAAAAGAAAACTCCGCTGATATAACACTACATGTAACTGTAGGAGAAAATATTGGACGACCCAAAATAGCTTTTATTATGTCAACTAGCGGCCCGCCCTCGCTTTGCTTCGGTGTAGAGCCGAAGTGTAGACTACAGTTTTTATTCTCAGGCTTGTATTATTCACAATGACATTCATCTATGATTCTTCTTATACCTGCATGCAAAGTCTCAGCCCGATCGGTTTAAAATTGACAAAGTTTCATACAAACTTTCATTCCCTATTTTATCCCCTTGGGGGTAGAATTAATCAAAATCCTTTCTTAGCGGATGTCTACGTCATAACATGTACCTGCATGCCAAATTTCAGCCCGATCCGTCCATTGGTTTGGGCTGTGCATTGATAGATCACTATGTCAGTCAGTCAGTCAGTCACCTTTGAGTTTTATATATATAGATAATGTCAATTTAATCATAGTATTATTTTATTTCATTTCATTTCAGTATATTGTTCTTGCCGTAGGTTTTTGCGGTAAGTTAGGTTACTAAAAATACACTGGTAGAGACTACAAAAAAATCAGGTTGTTGGCCACGAGTTATTCTCCAATGAAGTTTCATTGTTAATGAAAACTTGGTGAAAATTTAACAATTTAACATAATAAATTTCATTTCATATTTAAAATACGAAGTTTAGCTATTTTCGTATTTTATCATCGTGTCATCGTGTACAAAAAAAAACAGTAAAATTGGAAAATATTGTATCCTAAAGTTCATATCAACTTAGATCTTGGAGTCATTTTCTATTTTAAACATAATTTTAATCTTTTTTTGAACAGAAAATTGTATCACTTAATATTTCGTCATCTGGACACGCCAAGATTTTCATGCGTGTCGAAAATTAAATGAAATTACTTCTAAATGAAAGATAAAACAAAAAAATATTTATTTATTTATTTCTAATTACCACGGCATAATACCATTTACAGCAATTTGTAACAAAGAATTACAAACATGAGGATTCACATTTTTTCGCAATACAATAGACAATCATACATTATTTTATTCCATTAATCTGCATACACATCACAATAGTACCCCTAGCACGAACTAATATCGAATTCGTATCGTTAGCGAGTCCGAAATGTCATTGTCAAATGTGTACTGATTTTCGTTCTCGTTACGTACTTTGTGCCGCTGCTGTTCAAGTTTCCATACAAAATTTGACATTGAAATTTCGGCTTGCAAACTATTCGAATTCGATAATGGTTCGTGCTAACCCCTTGCATTTATTTTGTCTATTATATGTATACCAACCATTGCGTTTTTCCATGACCTTGGCATTTTACAACATAAAATGCAAGTATACATTATAAACAATCATGTAGAAAATTATCACGCAATATTGCGTGTTGAAATCTTGAATACCTACAGATGGGAAAAGAAAATTGACTAAATATATAGTACAAGTCGTTGAAAAGTAAACATACAATAGGAAGAAGATAAATGATAACCAGTTACGTTTCGGAAAATCCTAAGATTTTCGTTACGTCTTAAAGATAATGTTTTTGTGTAAAGTTGCCATAGTTGTGGGATTTTGCCCGATTTCGAGGAATAATTGCAATAATATAACAGCTGAAACGTTACATTAGAATGAGCAAATAGTGTAAAGAGACTCATCTAAGTATCGCCGCACACGGGCCACACGCCACAGCCACAAACGCCGCGCCGCCACGAGAAGCTAGAAGCGGCTACTAAAGTGACTGAAGCGCGCGACAGCGGCCGGCTAAGGTAAGGGAGAGAGGGGTGGGGAATCGCGCGAGTGACGTGTGGCGGCGTTTTGTATCGGCGCATTAAGTGGCGAGCAACGACGATTTGGAGCGTGTGGCGGCCACCGGCATACCGTGTGTGGCGAGTCCATATAAAATGTATGAAAACTACAAGAAATATGCCGGTGGCGGCGTTTTGTGGCTGTGGTCAGTGGCCCATGTGCGGCGACACTAAAGCGTGATTGAATTATAATACTATTTTGGGAACATTTTATGATATTATTTTAACATACACTAACAATCTGCAAATAAATACGCAAACATACACACAATCTATATAAAACTCAAAGGTAACTGATTGACATAGTGATCTATCAACGCACAGCCCAAACCACTGGACGGATCGGGCTGAAATTTGGCATGCAGGTAGATGCTATGACGTAGGCATCCGCTAAGAAAGGATTTTGATCAATTCTACCCCCAAGGGGATAAAATAGGGAATGAAAGTTTGTATGAAACTTTGTCAATTTTAAACCGATCGGGCTGAGACTTTGCATGCAGGTATAAGAAGAATCATAGATGAATGTCATTGCGTATAATACAAGCCTGAGAACAAAAACTGTAGTCTACACTTCAGCTCTACACCGAAGCGAAGCGAGGGCGGGCCGCTAGTCTGCAAATAAATACGCAAACGCTTGCGACCAAACATATCACTCATTCCAAAAGGTAGTGTGGCTTTACTGTGATCCACCTTACAGAAGGTGGAGGACGCTTCCCCAGGCAGGCGCTCCAATTCGAGCGGGAATTCCGCAATGCCCAATTCCTCAAGTCTGTGATTAAAATTAATAGCTTTGAGACTGGCATATTTGCAAGGCATCCTAGGCAACCCCATATCGGAGGAGGCTGGTGTGCTTTGCAATATGGTAGCAAAATTTCTGTGTTATATGTATAATTTAAGTTTATAATAAGAAAATTATATGGTCATGTTGCGATTAGGGTTACCAATTAGGAATTTCAAAAGTCCTATCAAAATCCTGACATTTCGAAAAAGTCCGGACTTTTTACTCACAACATGGTACCATAACTCACATACATAGTTACAATGGTATAGTATTTAAATAAATATGTACATTTATGATTCATATTTAATGTAATTAATAAAAACCGGACAATTTAGAGATCCGGACATCCCCGGACAAATCTGGGTGGATGGTAACCCTAGTTGCGATGTGGCTGGTATGGACAATTTGGCCAAAAGTCCCTTATAACAAACAATAAATTTAAAAAAGAGTGATTATCGAATCGAAAGGGGTATTCGAACTAGCTTACATCTCTCTTCTCTTTCTACCACCAGGGAGGAGTGGGAGAAGGTGAACATCACTGACAACGAGAACGGCACTCTCTCGTTCCACTACAAGCGCACGTACACGTTCCAGCCGGAGCAGAGCGCAGGCGCCGACGACGACGCTGTGGTCGTGCCCAATATACCCATGTTGGTGAGTGTCTATACCGCGTGTTAGATATAATTACAGCGCCATCTATCGAGCGAACGCACCCTCTCGTTCCACTCCAAGAGTACGTACACGTTTCTTGTATTCTTCTCTGGACGTGTGTCTGCTTAAGATTCGTCGGGTTCGCGCTCCGTCTTCAGGACGTGGTGGTCTGTTGGGTCAACCCCTCTTCTCCACGGCTTCAAACGTTGCCCTCAGCTCAGCGCGGTCAAGCTCACCGGGTGAGACCCATTGAGGAGGCCCAGTGAGCGACCAGTGAGTAGGCGACGGTGTGAGGGGGGGAGCACTTTTATATGGGGGTAGATTGACATCTTGTAGTTTGGGACTACCCGAACTTCTTTATGCAGTCGGATAGTTGCTCTTCTATCTGGAGGAGCCGTTGCATGGCGTCTTGCGAGGTCTGTGTCGGATCATAGTCTAGGGTGGCGGCTGCTATGAGCCGACGACGTTTTTTTTTTGAGTATTATGCTGTTGGTCGTCGGTCTTAGCACGAACCGATATCGAATACGTTTGCTAGTGCGAAATGTCAATGTCTAAGGAGAACAAGCATTTTGGTACTGATCTTGTACAAAGTTAACTGTCCTTTTTTTTTCCTCAATGGCTTCGCTCGGCTTGTGCATTTAGCCAATGTCAAGTGTTAAAAATGTTTACAAATTCTATAGCAGTCGCGGCCAAAGTGTTATATCAAGTCAAAGTAAGGGGCAGTCAAGTCAATCCCCCTTTCCCTGTGTTTTAGTAAATGTGTGGGGATTTACTGGAACCTCCCCGTGGACTTCTTGAGGGAACGTCGAATTTCGAAAGACACTTTCTGCTATTTTGTTTTACTTGCCAACACTTGTGCATGTTCCTGAACACTTAGTGGATAAAAATCCACCATTATTAGACACTAACATCCGCCACAACACAATTTTTAACAAGAAAAACAAAACTAAAAGTGACGCTTTCCGATTCCGCCAAAAAGTCCTCAAGTTAACTGTTTGGTATTATGTTCAGCATGAAAAAGTAAGTAATATAAGATAAAAAGTATTTTTTTAGCTAGTGGCGAAACCCAAAATAGTATAAAAGCTTTATCGTGTAAAGGAACGTAGTTTGCTATTATATTCGAAATAATCGATTCAATTAATCATGAGTCGAATGTTCCATTGAAGTACTGTTTCAATTGTTGGAATAAACAATTTTTTTAACGGTTAAAAAATAAATTTTCTTCCATATAACTATGAAATCATCACACATGAATACTTTTATCGTCTCGAGTAGGTACGCTACGTACTCCATGGCACGGAACGCCATTGTACCGTGACTTATGCCGGTTCTCCTTACTGTATACAGGGTGTCCCAAATAGGCTTGCCAGATGAAATCCGGGATTGTCCCGGAATTTTGCGTCTTGTCGCGTGTCCAAAAATTAGAACTTATTACCGTCCCAGAAACGGAATCCTCAAATACCAACTTTGGTCACAGTATTAATATACCCAGGCCTACCTGCGACGGGCGACAGAAGCATGCCATATAAAGGCATTCGTTACTAACCTATGTTTTGATGTGATGTTTTATTCTGAAGGGGTGCGGGGAGGGGGGGGGGGGGGGGTCGAACAACCCGTCCCGGAATAAATAAGCCTTCTTTCATTTTAGACTAGCTTGCGCCCGTGACTTCATCTGCGTGGAAAACTTTGGTTTCCCATACCCCTTTGAACGATGAGTTCTGGGATGAAAACTCCTTTGTCCTTTCCCGAGATTCGAACTATCTCTATGCCAAATTTCATATCGATTTAGCGGTTTAACTGTGTAGAAGTAACAGACAGACCGCCAGACACCTTCGCATTTATAATTTTAGTTCGGGGTTCGAATCCCGTTGGGGGCAGATGTTTGTGTGATGAATACGAGCATATGTACTCCAGTCATGGATGTTTAATATGTATTTATATAAATATACTTATATATGTACAGTATATGTATTCTATCCGTTACCCTAGCATCCCATAACACAAGCCTTACAGTGCTTACTTTGGGGCTAGGCTAATTGGTGTGAGTGTCGGAAATATTTATTTATTATTTATTTATAATTTTAGTATGGAAGCTAAGTTATATAAAAAGAAGAATTAAACCTATACGATTGAGTTCTTCGATTAGTTCTCACAGTAAAATTACATGTATTAATTTCTTGCAGGAGATTGTTTAAAATTCTTTAAATGCAGTTCGTCTTGTATTTAAAATGAAGTCTATCTTTATATATATAATTCTTCTGTGAATGTGTATGTCACTGAACTTCTCTTAAACGACTGGACCGATTTTGATGAAATTTTTTGTGTGTCTTCAAGGGGATCTGAGAATGGTTTAGATTCACAATTTTGTCCGCTGGACAACCCCTATTTTTTTAGGGCGGTACGAAGTTCACTGGGTCAGCTAGTATTCAATAAATCTTTAGTGTACACAAATTGAAGTATGTATTTTCCCTTCGTGTGGCAAAGTCCTTGGACAACCTGTATATGTTGTAGGAAGTGCAGAGGAACGTTACACAATGACCGCTACTTTAATTATACATGAAAGATAAAAAGAAAAGTCTGTCTGTCTGTTGCTTGTTAGATCGTAGCAGACGTCATCATCAGCCTATTAATATCCCCACTGGTGGGGCACAGACCTTCCCTATGGATGGAATAGGGAGATTGGGCCATGATCCACCACGCGGGCCCAGTGCGGATTGACGTGCCTCCCGAAGCACGGAGGAGCTCGAGATAAAAAATTTTTGGTCACCCATCCAATGACCGACCACTGCGAAAGTTGCTTAACTTTAACGATCGCAGCCGAACGCGCTAAACACCCGCGCCACCGAGCTCCTCCTTCCGTCATCCGTAGCAGACGTACCAACTCTGAAAGTTATCAGCACCGTATCAACTCGAGCCGTACAAGTAGTCTTTGTATAAAACCCCCTACTGCAACGTACACTAATCGGAATCGCCACGTAATCGCTTCAAGAAGAAACACAAGCTTGTCCCGTGGTCAGGCGATAACGAGGTCTATTTTTGAATCACTCGCCTTGCGTCGAACGCTCGACTTATACTAATTTTGGTTCGACAATAAATTGCCAGTGGCAGTGGGCTGGTCACATTAGCCGCAGAACTGACGGCCGATGGAACCGTAAAGTTCTTGAGTGGAGACCGCGACTCGGTAAACGTAGTGTGGGACGCCCTGAGACAAGATGGGATGATGACATTCGTAGGCTGGCTGGAGTGGGCTGGATGAGAGGCAGAAAATCGGGAGCAGTGGCGTGCATTAAGGGAGACCTATGTCCAGCAGTGGATAAACATGGGTCGATGATGATGATGATGAATAAATTCCCTATCGTCAACGAGCGGTCTGGACCATTCAAAATAATTGTCAAATTTATGTCAGATATTTTCAAGATTTTTTCTCAATATTTAAAGATGACGATTTGTTGCGACTTTTTGATCTTTCCTAACAGAAAAGGCAAAGGATTAAATAACCAATTATTGAAGATTGCACGCTTATTTTTCACAATGGTAATGACTGCTTTTTATCTTTTCCGTGAAATAAATAAAATATTTTGAATTAAACTGGTAACACTGTAGATGAACGATTCAAAAATACGGAAACTCAGTACCCTTAGTACGAGTTTTACAATTACGAAAACTATGATAGTTTTCGTGAGCTCGCACTCGTACTAAGGGTACTGATTTTATTGTTTTCATTTCAATACAAATAAACAGTGTTTAAATTCTATCATTAAATCATTTGCGTCTTCTTAAATTTTAAGTCAATTTGGTAACTTTAAACCAAAATGGTCATAGAAACATAATTTACAATTACGAAAACTATGATAGTTTTCGTGAGCTCAAACTCGTACTAAGGGTACAGTATCATGCGGCTTGCAAGTCGAAAGTGACTTAAGTCGCATTCTACGATATTACGTCAGGCGAGCGAATCAAAAATAGACCTCCTCGTCTTTGTCCTTAAATGTGTACGAACAACCCAAAGGTGCTTTCATCTCGGAAGTAATTTTTCAACTTGACGACTCTGTAAATAAAAAAGCAGGGAGAAAATTTAATGCCATGCGGCATCAAGTCCTCCATTTGTTGTAAAATAATAAAGAGGTAAATAAATAAATAATAGAATAAATAAAATAACAGCCCTTGCTGAGTGTCTTGCCGGTTCTTCTCAGTACAAGGTCTCCAGCCATAGATTTACGAACCGATGGCGTAGCTTCTAGACATTCATGAGTGCTTGCAACAGTCTAAGCTGATTAAATGATTTAAATTGCATGCATTGCATTTTAATCTACCTGCATGCCAAATTTCAGCCCGATCCGTCCAGTGGTTTGGGCTGTGCGTTGATAGATCACTATTTCAGTCAGTCGGTCACCTTTGAGTTTTATATACGAGGGCGGGATGATAAGTAACTAGCCTCTGCTATTTAAAAAGTTAAAATTTTAAAAATATGTATGTCATTTTTAAATTCGTATCTCTGGCCACCTGTGTTCTAAATTTGAACTTGGTGGCGCGAAAATTTTATTGATTTTTTGTCATTTGAAAATATATTTCGTCAACTGTTTTTAAAATGGATGAAATTGAACAAAGAACGGTGATGAAATTTCTTCATATGAAGGGCATGTAGGGGAAAGATATCTATGACTAGTTAAAGAATGTTTTGGGTGAATGTGCTCCTTCTTATGCCACAGTAAAAAACTGGGTAGCTGAGTTTAAACGCGGACGTACATGTGTCCAAGATGAAGCCCGCCCCGGACGTCCAAAAAGCGTCACGACTCCGGAAATGGTCGGGAAAGTACATGATATGGTTTAAGCAGATCGATGATTCAAGTTATCTGAAATAGCTAACACTACAGGTATCTCAAAAGAACGGGTACATCATATCCTAAGTGAGAAATTAAATATGAAAAAGTTATCGGCCCGTTGGGTGCCGCGATTGCTTACGCACGATCAAAAAAGGATTTCAATGCAAAACTCAAAAGAAT